TGGCTAAAGAGAGCAAGTTCCCACAAGAAGATAATTTTGAAGAAGCAGATATAGTGAGCCAATCTTGGCTAGAGGAACAAGATCAACTAATAAAATATCATGAGTTTCTCCGTGATGGTCTTTCAAATATGACAGAACAACTGATAGACGAAAGAACTGAGCTCAGGCAAGAGATAGACCAATTTTGCTCAGATATCCATGACTTGCAGGCTCAATTGAATAAAAAGGTTGAGGCGTCTGATGCCCTACAACTAATTGTTATGGATACTGCCCAACTTATGGAGCAAAAAGAGGAATCCCAACTATTCGACCAAAATATTATTAATAATGCCCAGGTTGACAAAGTGTGAAAAAGTGAGGATGTCAAAAGTGAAGCGATTCTAGAGTTGGAGCGCATCAGATCTCATTCTAACCATTTATCAACATTGTGTTGGGTTTGTGACGTGAGAATTGATCCATTCGAGCATATGGAGGAGTCAATGGATGGGGAACAAAGTGTTTATAATCTGAAATTTTTCATGCCAAGGAGACAAAACGACATCCCTCACTTAAAGGCCAAGAAGTGCAAGATGCGATATCTATTGCTTGGTTCCTTTATTTTCACCACAGTGCCCCAGGAACATGAAATTGGGAGCACAATTCATATACTCAAAGTGGAAGAAAAAGTGATGAAGTGGTGTAAGTCATGCCGCGACGATAAATAAGGCGCTTGTTGGGAGGCAACCCAATTCTATTTTTTTCTTTTTCTTTTTCTTTTTGTTTATTTTTTTTTTTTGTGTTATTTTCATTAGTGTTATTTTAGTGTTTTGTAGGAATAAGAGCATGGAATCAAAGCCTATAGGCATGTGAAAAATCGAGCAGGTGGTTGAAACTAAGTGTGAGGTACCCGCACAAGATATCATACCTGGGAGAAGTCTGAGTATCCCGTGAGCTGCTAATGCTTCGGCCTTTGGCCTACCAGGGAGTCTCTTTTACCCTATTGTTATTTTCAGTGTGCAGTGAGGGAATTGTACAATTTTAAGTGTGGGTGAGCAGATTGTCTGAGTGATTTTCTGTGCTATCTTAGCTTAGTAGTAGTACTCATTTTTAGTATAGTACTTTTTGTTAAAAACGAAAAAAATAAAATAAAATAAAGCACAAAATTTGAACTTTTCCAACGATGGTTTTTGTGGACGACTTTCTTGAGGGATTAAGGTTCAATAAAAAAAGTTCAAAAATATTTTCTTTTTGTTTCTAGTTAGTGTTAGTTAGATAATAATCCCACTTGGTTTTTCTTTTTGCGTCGGTTCTTTTCCAAGGGATGTAACTTGAATTGGGTAAACTTTTTTATTTTTAGGATGAGATTTTTTTTGAGTAGTAAAAGAGGGAGAAGAAAAACCTTTATGACTTGTTTGATACTAGCGTATTCAGGCCCGAGCTTGAGTAGTACTTTCCTGTGAGTGCTTGAGTAATAAATCAAATAATAGACTTTCTGACACCTAAGCTCATGGTTGTGACTCTGTATATACCTTATTATTATTATTTTGTTGTTCGCTATGATCCTATATGTCTTAGAGTAGAATTGATCTATCTTGATTGAGACTTGTGCCATGTGTGGTGAGGATTTCTTACATATACTCCATATTTTGCAACTTAGTCTAGAACTTGCCCTGCATGTTATTGTAGCGAAATAAAAGTGTTGCTTTGTTTAGAAGATGATAATAGGTTTTCTTTGATATGTCTTGTGAATTTTAGCATGTTCAGATATTGTACCACTATTTAGCCCTTTGAGCTTGTAGCCTTTTATTTGGAAGTCGTATTTCTACCTTGATCCTTTTGTTGAATCCCTAGTTTTTGCACCCTGCTTCCTTGAGCACTGTTGCTTAGACCGTGATATTAATTGATAAATTTGAAGAATGTGATGGTTAAGTGAAAAATGGTGACCAATGATGGCTGAAAGGTGATGAAAAGGCCTTCTTGAAAAGAATGTGACATGAAAAAAAATTTGAAAAAAAAGAGAACGAAGAGAATTGGTTTGAAAAAAAACGAAACGTTCTTGATATGAGAGAAATAATTGTGAAACAATAGATGAAGAGAGGGCTGACAAATAAAAGTGAAGAGTAGAAAATAATGGGTGATGAAGTCTAGAAGTGCAAAGTGCTTAGGGAAGTCTAAGTCATTATTATATAATTCTCCTCCCCGTCCCTTAACCAACATTACAACCCGTTAAAGTCCTATTTGATTCTATTTGAGTATACTTAATTAGTAGAGATGTACATAATGGGCAAGCCTATGGTTCTTTGTGCATAAATGTGAATTCGTTATGAGTGTGAGAGTTGTTCTTTGATGCAAAGTCCTTAAATTATGTTCATTCTTTGATTTGAGTGTATGGACTATTTATTCTTGTGAGGCACTTGTGTCATGATAGATAGGTGATGTTATTAGCTTCTTTGACATAGTAGGTGAGCTAGCTTAAATTTGGTAAATTAGAGTCCGTCCCTGAGGTTAGGAGGTTAGAAGTTTGTTGTTTGTTTGTGACTTGTATATCTTGTACGAAGATCAGGAAGTGTATATTTGATGGTTTCAATTGCTATAGGGCCTAATGGTCAGTATCAACCAAAGTAGTGGTGTTTCTAGGCTTGATTTATTGAGAGTGGTTTTAATACTTACTCGAGGACGAGCAAGAGTTGAAGTGTGGGTTGTGATATTAGGCCAAAAATGCATATATTTAATTATTGTCGCCTCACATTCTAATACTTTTAATCGTCTTTTGAGTGTTAATTTTGTGCTTATATTATATTTCAAATGTGTAGGAATAAAGCAGTGCGAAAATAAAAAAATTTGGAGCAAAATTGAATAAAACGCAGAAGAAAAAGAAAGAAAATTAAAAGAATATAAAAAGGGGGACACCCTTTGGATTTTGTCCCCCAGGTGGAGACAACAAAACAAGAAAGATATATAATGCAATTGCATTCTAAATGCAAGGGATGAAAGCAACGTGAAGGAATTGGACGTAAAACTCATTGTTTCCAGCGCCAAGACGCTGGGTGCGGAATTTTTTCCACGTCGTCTGGGACAAGGTTATTTCGATCTTACATGATCCCAACTCGTATAAAAGGGATTTTAAACTTAATTTGGAGGATATCTAACATACTTTGAAGGAGAATTCATGTGGAGGAACACACACCACGCTTGGAGGAGGCTTCTAACTAGTTTTTCTTCTCTTCTCTTCCTTTAATTTCAGAGTTCATTAGTTCTAGAGTTTTGGGTGCTACATGAACATTGTAGTTTGAAGCTTGAATTGTTCTTATTATTTTATCATATTGGTTTATTTATTCAATCTTGCGCTTAATTGTTTGATTGCTTGATCACCAATTAAATACTATCTACGAATCTAGGATTGAACTCGGGAGAGGGAATTCTAGATTGCATATAAGATTGAGTAGAGCAAGATCTTAACTCTGAGATGGGGCGGATTTGCGGTTATGATAGGAATATACCTAATCGCCTTGCTTGGTTACTATACGGGAATTATATATGCGTTCTTTTTAATCCTAATTCCACAGAAATATAGGCATTAGGTTAGCTTGAATATGCGAGTTGTACTTCGGAAGAAGGTTACGAGCAATATTAACCCCGTCAATCAATAAACTAGATAAATTAATTAGACAGTTTAGGGAGAAAACATCAACGGGATTATTAGCTAACCCATAACTCTAGAATATTTTCTCCCATTGAATTCGTGTCTAAGTTCGACAATTTTCCTTTGTTTCTTAGTTTACTACTCTAGATTATCCTTAGTTAAATATTCATACTTTAGAATTCGCTTGAATAGATTAATTGTTTGGGTGTAATTTGGTTGATAGTTAATCACAAGTCCCTGTGGGTACGATATCTGGACTTACAATCCTATATTACTTGTCGACCACGTATACTTGCGTGTGCGTTTGGAACAACAATATACAATAATGACTAGGTCGGGTAATATCTAAGAACGTCGGCTCATTTTAGATACCATATTAGGTCCGTTGATATAGAGTGTAATTGTTCTAGAAACATTTGGAGAGTGATTTAAGATTTAAGAATTAAACTAATCAAGTAATTGGGATCTTCAAATTTCTCATCCATTATTTCAAGTGACACCTTCCAATAAGACAACTTCTACTAAACAAGATTATTCAAACCCTATATCTATATAACTATAGATATATTAGTATGTACTTAAATAAACACATATCAATCATTTTAATATATATCTAACATGTTTATTTACATTGATGGCCAAACACACATATGTTTTAGTTGCAATAAATGTAAAGTAAGACCGCATATAATAGATCTAATGTGGACATATAATTCTTCGGATTCAGGGTATAGTAAATGCATAGTACGCCGAGCTGCATGTTAATGTAAAACACATACAATGCAGTTGAAGAATTTATAGCATCCATAAAAACCAAGTCAGTGATCATATTGTCAAATTGAGAGACCCTTGTCATGATCCGCCACATCATCATGCCATGTAAGTGCCACTTGGCATATATTTTTGTCATAGGGAAAGCTTAAAAGGAAAGAAGTTAGAACTTATAGGAAAGTTCTAGAGAAATATAGAGGTTTCCTAGAAAGACCCTAGAACCCTATGGATTTGCTAGGAATGTCCTTGGAAGATTCTGGCTATGTAGAGAATTCTAGAGAGGGGTCTTACTTGTAAATAATAAGGAACTTATGTAAGAATTAATATTTACACACTAGCCCCTACGATGCTAGTATATAAAGGGGCCATTCATTTGTAAAATAATCAAGCAAAACAATCAACTTCTCTCTAATACAAAAGCTTCCTTTGACAATTCTCCTATGATCTAACATTCCTTAGCGATCCTGAGTGTCGTAAGGCTGACTTGGCATAGCAAGAACGTGAGCAAGTTGTGCAAGATCGTGAGCGAGTAGTCAAGTTCTGCACATGTACTTAGTTAACTACTAAGGACGTGACACCCTTCTAAATAATAGATTGAAACACTCCAAAACAAACAAGAGGCAAATGGTTCTTCCCACCAAGACTCTAAAAACACTAGATGTTACTATATATGGTTTGGCAACCCATTTGAACATTACACAACTTTGCAAGATGAAAACTTAAAATGCATAATAAGTATTATTTGCTAAATTAATTAGAACTAGTAGCTCTTTCTTCACTGATTCATACTCTTCCCTTTTCCATTCCTTGAAATGGGAAGTGTTGGGATACTTTGTTCATGCAAGAAGTAGTTCTCCGGATCCACCTTAGTTTTCACTTTCACTAGCCTATTGAAATTGTCCTTGAAATATTTGTTTCCCCAAATACTAGCTTGTATAAAACTAGAACTTCCATTCTTGTTCATCCCTAAATCAAGATCTCTATAATTCACATAAGCTTGTCTAGGAAACATAGAAGCATAAGGGGTCATGTAATTATAAAGTCTTCTGATCCAATCAAAATGTTTTGTGGCTAATTCTTTATCAGGGTCATTCCAAAGTGTTAAGTATTGAACCATGTAAATGACACCTTTTCTATGAGGAAAAGGGGTTTCAGATTCTGAGATTTTAGCCATCATTCCACCATATGGATTCCATATCATTAACGGCGAGTCTTCTTCCAATAGCCTTTTCCATAACCCTTCAAGACCATCTTCAGGAATTGGCTCTTTCATAAAATCTGATTTTGCTTTGAAGTAATTCTTGAACAAAGATTTCCCTTGAAGGAGTACTTCTGGTGGGGTGTTACTTGGATAACCAGCTATGTACAAGATGGACTTAATCCAACTCATTTCTGCACAATCTTTTTGTGTCAATCCTAGTTCAGGAAAATTCTCATTCATTATTTCTAAAAGTCTGTCACTTCTACCAAGAAATAATGAATTATAAGCCATTTGGATAGTCTTTTCACCTTTTCTATCTTTCTTGTCAACCACATTCATGATCACCCTAATGAAGAGATCTTCATCAATCTTGTCAGCAACTTGTTGCCATTTGTAAATAATCTTTGTCCCATTTTGTTCTAGTGTTTTTGGGACAGTAAAAACTGTTACAATTGATGGAACAGGGACTAACCTTAACTTCCAAGAAAGTATAATCCCAAAACTAGCTCCTCCACCTCCTCTAATTGCCCAAAACAAATCTTCCCCCATACTCTGCCTATCATGAATTCTACCATTTGCATCAACAATTCTAGCATCCTCAACATTATCTGCTCCTAACCCATATTTCCTCATCATAGTACCATATGCTCCACCTGTTATGTGTCCACCAATTCCCAAACTAGTACATAGACCAGCTGGAAATCCATGAGTCTTGCTTTTTTCAGAAATCCTATAGTATACTTCACCAACAGTTGCCCCAGCTTGAGCCCAAACAAAGTTGTCCTCTATGTTCACCTCGATTCCTCGGAGTTTTGAGAGATCAAGAATAATGAAAGGAGACCCCATTTCAGAAATGTAAGAGAGACCTGTTTTCAAAAATAGAATAAAACAAAGTAAGAATATTGAGTTAAAAGATGATCGTTCAAGACATGTTCGTTTAAATTTAGATTCAAGTTTAAATAAAAGTGAAAATACCAAGTCGTCTAATTTATACATGAAACCTTCAAACTCATTTTCGCCTTTCTATGTGGGATAATCCCACTTTATATATTCAGGGTGGGAGCTAGACTTTAGGTTACTGGTTCGACCGAATCTAGTAGTTTTAATCTAAATCTTGTATTTGTCTTAAGAAATTTATTAAATACATGCAAATTATTGATTTAGAATGCAACAACTTTACTGAATGCATAAGCTTCAAATCCACACTCTGCAACTAGAGGCGAAGCTAGAATTTAAACTTTATGGGTTCTAAATTCTAAGATAGCAACATTAGGTGTTAGTAATTGGATTCTGAATTTAACTTTTGTACATATTCAGTAAATTTCTTAATACAATATATAGGATTTGCAATTACTGGGTTCGGTCGAACCCATACTTCGGCTTCTAGCTCCGCCCCTACCTCAGCATATATTACAAAATCTAACGTACCTTCGTAATCATGGCCTCCACTTCTAACTCTAAGCTGAAGACCAAGCTGTTTTGAGCAAATGACAGCAGCTTGGACATGGGATTCTGCCATTGGTGTAAAAATAAGCTGTGGTTTAGGAACAGAAGGCACTAACAATCTGAGATTTTGTGCTGTGGATTGTAAGATTGTGGTGAAAGAAGCATTGGTTGGGGTGACGAAAGCTGCGGAAAAAGGGACACAGTAATCAGAATTCTGGCAAACACATTGGTAGAACTTTTCGTTGGTTGTATCTGAAAGAACATTTGATGAAAATGGCAATAAGACTACTAACAATGAAAGAAAAACAGAGTTTAAGGATGTCATAGTTGAGGTTCTTGAATGCTTTAGCATTGTGCTTTGGATTGGTTATGAAAATTTGAGGAGGGTGATGGTATTTATATATTGATCAAGTAAAGTTAATGTGCGATGATGACTCTATGACATAATGCAAATGTCAGGTTTCAAGGTTTGAATAATGTATTCTAGGTGATCAGGATTTAAGAATGAATGCTACCAAGTAATTGAAGATGAATTTGTATTATATACACTGGTAGCGTAAATATTGTTTTTATATGATTAGTGAATTTTAACATGTGATTATAAGTTAATTACCATTTTTTAACCAGATTACTAGTACTAATATTTATCAAAAAGATTACATGTAATTACCTATATATATATATATATATATATATATATATATATTGCATGTAAAATCATGGTCTAAATGTGATATAAGAAGAAGAAATGAACTAAAAGAAATAGGAAGAAAAGGGGATGTTTGTGTATATTGTTCCGAGTAGCTGTTTTGGGAACAATATTAACTTCTGAAGATGTTTAGGAATGTCCCACGAAGCTCACAGTTCAAATAGGATTTGAAAAGATGCTAATTATAAATTATGTATAATAATTAGAAGTTATCTTATACAAATTACAGACAGTACATACGAGACAGGACACCTACAAGAACAAAAAACAAAGCATGGCGTTCAAGATCGAGAAGCTCAGACTTAAAGTAAGAGCCACCATTTCTTGCTACTCAAAGAAAGAGAAAACAGGAAGAGGATTTCACTTTAAGCAAATAAACAAATAGATAAAGAGATAGAGGAACAAATTAAGATATGTTTATCACCGCTAAAGATTGTGATGGAATGGATAGGATCCCTCCACCTTTATACAAGTATTGGACACTCATTAGAAAAAAACATGTTTATCATTTTATTGTTCTAATTGGCATCATTTTAATCTTATTATTGTTATGAAATCATGAATTGGTGCCTTCTACGCGTTTCCTTTCTACAATGATCTTAAGTTAATGTACAATATTAATTGAGTTAATATTCAAAAATTTGTAGGTATTTAATATATATATATATATATATATACCTCTTCTATGTTATTTGTGGTTACTTAACTTGCCGAGGTGGCCGGATTAGTTTTCGGGTGGTTTCAGAGTGAATTGGAACACTTAGTCCCATGGTTTGAGGCTCAAGTTGAAAGAGTTGACCAAAGTTTGACTTTTGTGTAGACGACTCCAAAATGATGTTTTGATGATTCCAATAGCTTCGTATGGTGATTCTGGACTTAGGCGTATGTCCAGATGTTGATTTTGAGGTCTGTAGGTTGATTTGCTGGTTTTTAGTGAAAGTTGGAAAGTTAAAAGTTTGGAAGGTTAACAAGTTTAGCATGGAGTTGACTTTGTTGATATCAGGTTCAGATTTTTATTCCGTGAGTATGAATAGGTCTATTGTGTCATTTAGGACTTGCATGCAAAATTTGAGGTCATTCGGAGTTGATTTGATATAGTTCGGTCTGAATTTTGGAAGTTGAAAATTCATTAGTTCATTCGCACCTGCGATGGATTGGCCGCAGGTGAGAGGCCGCATAAGTGACAGCTTGATCGGATAAGCGAAGGTGGAGGTTGCTGAGGGAGCCCGCAGATGCGGACAGCTGGGTGCAGGTGCGCATTGAGTCCGTAGAAGCGCCTAGGATTCCACATAAGCGGATGAGCGGGGAGTTAGTGGTTTCCGCATCTACGAAGTCAATTCCGAAGATGCGACATCGCAGGCGCGCTCAATTTGACCGTGGTTGCGGTTTTGCTGGACTAATCAAGGGTTTCATTATTTTTCTCATTTTGGTGTTGTGGAGCTCGGTTAATGGCGATTTTTGTGAGACTTTTTGCTGCAATTCAAGTGGTGAGTAAAGATTATTCAATTTTGTTGATGGATATTGATTGCCCATTGATTATTACACCTAGTTTATGTGAATTTAAGGTAAAATTTGGGGATTTTAGGCTATGTTACTGGAGAGTGAGATTTGGTGATTTGAGAGTCGATTTGTGGTTAGAATTTGATGAAATTGGTATGGTTGGACTCATATTTGAATGGGAGTTCAGAATTTATGAATTATATCGGGTTTCGGGGCGCAAGCCCGAGGTTAACTTTTTGGGTTGACTTTGCATATTTGATTCAAGACCTTAGCTTTATCATTTGGAATTATTTTCGATGGCTTTATATGATGATATTAAGTTGCTTTGACTGTATTCGAGTAGCTCGGAGGCCGATTCGTGTGGTAAGGTCTTTTTGGAATATTGATTTGCGTGTTTTGAAGTATGTAATATATCTAAACTTGGATTTGAGGGTAACTATCATGGAACCATGCTGTATGAGGTGTATTGGGGTGGTGCACATGGTAGGTGACATGCGTATGGGCGGGCACCAGGGAAATCATGATCCGAGTTGACTTTTAGACTATTACCGGACTTGTTTTGTTATCATATCTTGTTATATCCGTATTTTTCCTACTAGTTTGATTATCTGAGACTTGATTCATGTTAGAAATCATGTTTAATGTCACGACCCAATTCCATAATAGGCCATGATGGCGCCCAAAGCCATTGTTAGGCAAGCCAACACTGATCAAATAGTGGTTTCCCGTTTAAGTAAATTATTAAGTAGTAACATTTCCTTATTTGTTAAACAGATTTAGAAATTTGCATGTGTAACATAAAAAAACTGAAGCAATATGTACTAATCGAAATCATGTAAGCAAACCCAAAATTATAAGTCTACTAGTGTGTGTGCCAAGACCTGGTGTCACAAGTGTGTGGGCAATCTAGTAAAATATACAAAAGAATGCTAGCCTACTGTCTGAAAGGGAATAGATAGAAAAGTAAATCATAAGGGAGACTCCAGCTGCTGCAGAACGGCTCGGAAGGCAGCTCACCGTGAAGTCTCGAGGTGGGGATCAACTATGCGCACCGGGCGGGTAACTAGATGCACCTGCCGCAGATCCTGCACAATTAAATACAGAAGTGTAGTATGAGTACATAAACAACATGTACCCAGTAAGTATCCAGTCTAACCTCGAAGAAGTAGTGACGAGAGGTCGACTTTGACACTTACAATGGGATAAAAATAATATAATCAAAGTGTTATACTAAGCATGGATTTCATGAATAATACTGAAAGCTCAATAATAGGAAATGATGAGTTCTTCTTTCAAAATTATAAATTTCAAATTCAGTTTTATCATTTAGCAGCTTACATCTCAAGACATTTAAGCACTATCAATCATGGAGTGTTCCAAATAATTATCATGGGCATATTATGCCGAGTTCGTACGACCCGACCAACATAATATTTAAACTGCACACTGCTAGATGGTCGAACGGCGCGAGCCATAGATGCATTTATTTACTACCGAGGCGTTCGGTCCGATCCACAAATAGCAATTTATTTTCAAACGAAGCACAAAGTTCACATTTACAGTCAAGCATTCCATTAAATCTTTCATATAAGTGAATTTAACCTTTTACACTTCTTTTATCAAGTTCCAACGACTTAAGTAATTGAATTAGCAAGTAAGGGCGCAAACAATTCAATATAAAAAAAAATTGATACGGGTCCTAAACTACCCGGACAATAGCATAATAGTAGCTACGTACGAACTCTCGTCACCTCGTACGTACGTAGCCCCCACAAATAGGTACACACATTTATTTAATTCACCTATGGGGTTAATTCCTTCTTACAAGGTTAGAAGGAGACTTACCTCGTCTCAAGGCCTACTTTCCAATTCAATAATGCACTCAAACCTCCAAATTTGATGCCAAACGATTCGAAACTAGTTAAACAGTACGTAAACTAATAAATCTATGCTCAAAAGTTCATATCCCCACTATTAAAGTGATTACCCAACCCAAATCGCAAGATTCCTAAAATTCACCCCTGGGCCTACATGCCCGTATTCCGAAATTTTTTGAAGAAAGTTATTACCCATAACCTTATGAAAATAAATATATGACTTGTACTAAGTTCCATAACCAATTTCGTGGTCAAATCTCATTTTTATCAAAAACCTACGTTTTCATCTAAGCCCTTGATTTTCACTAATTTTAACATGTTAATCTACCCACAATCTATGTATTTAACTCATGTTGTGTATAAATTACTTACCTCAAAGTGCTAGGTGAAAATCTTCTTTCAAAAGCTTCAAAAATCGCCCAAGAGATGAAGTGAAATAAATAAATGGCCTAAGTCCCACATTAAAAGAGCCGGGCACAGGCCTCTGATATCGTATTTGCGACACCACGTTCGCAAATGCGAGGGTCGCAAATGCAACAAAACACCCGCAAATATGAAGCGTGGCTCAGCTGCTTAGGTCGCAAATGCGACACAGGGGTCGCAAATGCGATCACTGTTGAGGTCACAAATGCGGCTCAGGTGTCGCATATGCGAAAAATGCCCCAGTCGATCTTCTTTGCAACTGCGAAGCTCTTCTCGCAACTGCGAGGTTCGCATTTGCAAACTATTTCTCGCATCTACGTGACCTGCAACTGATGACAAGAAACACCAGAAATCTGGTGTGTTTTTCATCCCTTTCGAACGTCCGAAACTCACCCGAGCCCTCGGGGCTCCACACCAATCACCCACAGAAGTCTAGCAACATCATACAAACTTGCTCGCGCGATCGGAACACTGAAATAACATCAAAAACCACGAATTGGACGCCAAAACGCATGAATTTACTCAAGAACTCCAAAAACTTCTACAACACTTCCGCGCGTCTGATTCCTATCGAATCAACTTGGAATGACGCCAAACTTAGCGTGTAAGTCTTAAATGATATTACGGACCTACTCCAACTTCCGGAACTAGAATCCGAACCCAATTTCAAAATGTCCACCCTCTGTCAAACTTTCTAAAAACTTCAAGTTTCTAACTTCCGCCAAATGACTCCGAAACGACCTACAGACCTACGGATCCACTTCCGGACGCGCTCCTAAGTACAGAATCACCATACGGAGCTATTCCTAGGCTCGGAATCCCAAACGGACGTCTAGAATGTAATAATCCATTTCAACCCAAACTTATGGAATTTGCTCA